AAAAACTTCACTGGAAAGCAGATACTGTACCTATCAATGAATGACTTCTTAATTTTAAGTGAAGCTTACATCACTTTTACAGGGTATCTGGCTACATATACAGTATTTCTTGTCCTTAAGTCACTATGTTTCCCATGGTTGGATCCCTAGTTGGTAATTCATACTTTGCCTCCCAACTGGTTAAAAAGGGTTCTCATAATTCCATTAATTTTCCTAGAGAATCATAAAATCATGAGTTCCTTTCCTGTTTTAATCAATGAATTATTGTCAAATTGCTCTTCAAATTTTTACAAATAATATATAGGAAAATTTCACTTCAGCAAGAATTGTTATTTTCCCAATTCATATTTCTTTTCCCCAGTGAAACTTGTATTTTTTAGTTTGCGCCAAACTAGGAAATAAGACAGTTATTTTATTTCCTCTCCTTGTGCATTCACACAGAAAGGTTTTAGGCATTTCTGAAGCTCCATTCATGCTTCACATGGATCAAATATACCTGGGGGTCTGCCCCTATTGCCACCTGGGCTGTTCCTCCTACTCAATTTTTTTTTTTTTTTTACTAACCATTTGATCCTGAACACCACAAAGATGTGTTTTGGGGGGGCAATACCCCAAACTAACTGACTGTTGAAAATTTAAGCACTCTATGATAAAACTGCAAACATGACCCATTAAACTCTCAGACTTGGTGAGGGTCCCAAACTGGTATGTATTCTGCATGGTCTGTATTCTGTCACTTGAGGATACTAGACATTGCCAGCAGGAGCCTGTTTTACCTTCATATTCTAATCTTAGATGATAATGGCTGGGATTATAATGACTGTGAAATGTGTATCATTTACAGCATTCAAATGAAAATAAGAGAAGTTAGAAAGTATCTTAGCATTTCATTCATTTGCACACAAAAGGCAGTATAGTACATGTAAATGAATTGTACACTTTACATTTGACACATCTGCCTCAAGGGAACTTCAATTCTGAATGTCTACTTGAGGTAAATATTAACAGAATACCAAATGCCTGGGCTTGACATATTTGTATAAAGTGAAACAGAAGTAATTTATAAATGTTATTTTGTATTTCTTCTCACTCATAGAAAATAATGTTTCTGCAAGCATGAGATCCTTGGGTGAAGGATCAAAATACATTTCTGTTTTCATTTTTTATTCTTTAATACAGAGTAGTTCAAACTGGATACAAGTCACAGTACTTCCTGGGAATTTTTTCTTTCTTATATTTTCTTCTAAATATATACTCTCATGTTCCATTTATGTTTTATTTTTATTATTTATGTATGTCACTTGGACATTTTCCCCATTGAACTTTATCCAGTTGTCTCTGTCTGTCACATAGAGCACTAAATACCTGATAACATTTACATCACAACTGAGAACCTCAACCATGCATGGTCCAAACATCTTTACAATTTTTATGTGTATTTTCAAATTCATCACTTTATAAGTGAAATGGAACTTAACATGTCAATGCGATAGTGAATCTAGAATATGTTCAGTAGGGACTAAGGGGGAAAGATGGTGACTTTCCAGCCAAAGATGTCATATAACTTATAGGATAAATTAGGTAAAATAGTGGGGACTCAGAGGGCTTCACATGATGTAGAATTTGTATGAATCTAAAGGAAAACCATACGTAGCAAAACTGCTGACCAAAGAGGAACCTAACAGTGTGTGAGAAGAATACCAGGTATAGAGTGAGGTGTGGAGCAAGACCCCAGTGATCCTGAAATGGACACACAGGTGTGATGGAGGCTCTGGAGGCTGGAGACTCTCTCCCACATTTTCCATGCTTTCTTTGGGGCATGTCCATCTAGATGTGGGGAAATACTCAACTATAAGAAGATCATCTTAATTGTTTTTAAGTATAAGAGAGAATTTGTTCAAGGTAATAAAAGCAAGCGGCCCTTGGATTTTCCCTCCCTTAACTGGACAATTCTCTACATTCATTTCCATTAATTCTCTTCCACCATCAAGTAGCTAAAGTGGGAAAAGCACCAGTGGTCTCTGTTCAAATATAAACCATCTCTGATGGTTGGCATTTGCTTTTCAGCCAAGTAGACAGCATCTGAGTTTTTTGTTCTCGTGCAATTCTGCAAACTCCTGGTGTTCACCTTCTTACGGGTATCTGGACAAGTAGTAAAGAGTTAGCTTCAAAAATCAAAAAGCTACCCAAATAGTGTAGTGATTTCCTAAATTGCTCACTTTTTCAATGTAGCACAAAGTTCTTCACAAACATTAGGGCATGTGCCTCATGAACACATTTTATAGGTAGGCACAGAGCTAAACGAGAGACAAGGGCCTCGATGACGACCTGTGTGTGCAGATAGGTGGCACTGCTCGGGACTCCTCCCAGGTATTCTGTGGGAATGGGGTGCGTGTGAGTCAAGCAAGGGGAAGGACCCAGGAATCAATCCCCCAGCACCTTCTCACTAGGAAGGAAAACTCCAAAGCTGCTATCATCTGTACTGCCTTCCTGACCAGCTGGTACACAACTTGTATGCTCACATTAACATTTAGTGTACATTTTAATGATTCAGTTACTAACTTAAACCCTCATACATTTTATAATGCAAATGAACAAGCATGTGGTAGATCATAAATAGCAACACCTAAAACAGTAATTTCAGCTTTTTTCTAACTGTAAGTAAAAATTGTACCTTTCTTAATAAAAATATCAGTTTTAAAATCTACCATTTTGAATCTGACATTTAAAAAATGCATGCACATGCCTAGAACAGGCAGCTGAAGGAGAGTGGGCGCAAGGTGGTGCTCAGAGAAGGAGAGGCGGGGGTCTGTGGTGGGAAGACCCAGTGAGGATGAGGACCAGGACTGCCTGGCACCTCCCCCTGTGCCAGCCCACCCATGTGTCCAGGATCCACCCAGTCCACAATGCTGAACTGCGTTTGGGGATTATTGCAGGTCTGTGTTGCAATGGGACTTTGAAGACAGAGTAGAGTCTCAGTTTAATGATGCTAGACAAATCTATGTCTATGATTTAGAAATGGAAAGTGAAGCTAGAAATTTCTGGCATCTTCATGGTCACTGGAGGTCATGATTTTTCTTGTCCCCAAGGAGTAGGATAGTCTAAAAATCAAGCAATAGCACAGAGTTCAAAATCTTACCTTTGTTTTTTGGATACCAGGAGCACAGAATTGAATTAATCATGATCCTTGGTTTAGGAGACCTCATCATTTGTGAAAGCATGGCCCACTTTATAGATTTCTATGTTTATTATTGTACCTGTATACATACTTTAAGTATCCAGTATAAGCATCTATGGGCCTGACCACATTCATCACCTGGCGTCCTCTACCTGTTAACCATCGGCCCAAATCCTATCCTCATCTCTTGCTCTCCTTTTCTAATCTCTTGGTATCTATACGTATCTTTAAAAAATTCTAAAAGTCTTCCTTTTATTTAACTTTATAAAAAGGGTATCATGCTGTATATAGTATTTTGAAACTTTTAAAATTTAATATTGCTAAGATTCATTCATATTATTACAAGCCATCACAGTTCATTTTTTTAATTAAATAACACATACAGTGAAATGCAAAATTTCAGTGTGAAAATTATGTACAAAGTGAACAAATTGATGAGTTTAGATAATTGCATACACCCATGTAACTGATACGTCAATCAAGATATAGAACATTTCCATCACCCCCAGAAAGTTCCCTATACTTTCACTTTTTTCATACTCACTTCTGTAGTAACCGCTGGTGTGACTTACACCACCACAGCTTAAGTTGCCTATTCTATTTTATGTAAATGAAATCACATAGTATATATTCTTTTGTGTTTAACTTTTCACGCAACATAATGATTGCCCATGATATATTGTGCATCAGTCATTCATTTTTTTATTATACATTGTATGCATCTACCAAAATTTGTTCCATACTTTACATGGACATTTGGATTGTTTCCAGTTAGGGTGCATCTATCCAATGGAATCCTACTAGCAATAAAAAAAAAACAAAAACTGAACTTCTGATACATGGGGCAACATGAATGACTCTCAGAAGCATTATGCAAATGAAAGGAGTCAGACACAGAAGGCTACATGCTATATGAATTCGTAAATATAACATTCTGGAAAAAGCAAAGCCTTAAGGACAGAAAATACATCAGTGGTTTTAAGGGTTGGGGGAGGAAGGGATTGGTTACAAAGGGGCAAGAGGGAACACTGACAGAAATGTTCTACATCTTGAAGTGGTAGTGACACAACTGTGTGGGTTGTCAAAACTTAGAATTGTATACCTAGAAAGGGCGAGTTTTACTGTATATAAATTATATCTCAATAAACAATACCTTAAAATATAAAATAGATGTTTGAGAAAACCTGCTAATACATCTAAATAATTATGGTGAACTCTAACAGATAATTCCTGCCTCTCTCTCTACTCTGTAAAAAAGGGTGGGTGGGGAGTGTCCCTGTCTTGAGCATTTGGTTTCAAACAGGAATGTCCCAACTATTTATTTTCTAGATTGCCAAGTTAGATTACTATCTAGTTTAATATCTGTTTAAAAAATATATATGTGGGACTGGCTCTTGGTAAGATTATCAGGAAGAACTGCCTATTCAAGATCAAGTAACTCACTTGCTAATTGTTTTTGCAAATAGTGGTGGCATGGGCTGGAATAATAGCAGAGACATTCAGAAACTATAACTTACTTTTGAACTGTCAGACTTTAAAGATAGAGCTGTTCATACACAGGGACACAGGAATGCAAGAGAAGAAACTTTCACAAACATACAAGATTGCCCTTTATATTTTCCTACACCAATTACAGTATATAACAGTTAATATTAGGGAATCTACATATACTGAAGATTGTTCTTCCAAGAATGTGGAAATACATAAAAATTGCATTGAATTAATATACTATACACCTCTCTTGTTTATTGACAAAATGCTTGGGATCCTTATTTAACACATAGAATTTAAAATATATTCTTGCCATTTTGTCGTGTCTTAGATTCTTGGGAGCTATAACAGAGGAAATTTAAGCACTGAAAAATTTGTGGAAGAAATAAAATCAATTGCAAGTGAACCCACTGAAAAGCATTTCTTCAACGTCTCTGATGAATTGGCTCTAGTCACTATTGTTGAAGCTCTGGGAGAAAGAATATTTGCCTTGGAAGGTATGACTAGTTCTTGTAATCCTGTATGTTCTGTCTACAATGCAATGTCAATGTAATGGGTTTTTGGTATTTATTCCTACTACTACATGGGTCATGCACTTTTACTGTGTACAATAGCCAGCATGGAACAGTGCCCTTTTATGTAAATCTTTCCCTGAGATGGCTATCACATTGCACCGTGTCTGTCGGCAGCTCTCTTTGTAAGGATGTGGGGGTTGAAGGAAGGCAATGGTCAGTGTAGATTCACCAGAACAAAAACGTGCCCGCGTGTTAGCGCTTTTCTGTGACACGGCTTTAGAAAATGGAGTCACTAACTCAACTTTTCCTTTTTAATTTGTTTATGTTATTTTGGGCTTCTATGGAAATGTTCTTGTTTGCAATAACTTCGTTGTTCATTTATTTTCTCCTATTTTGCTTCTTGCCCACTTTAAAGGTCTTTTATGGAACTCTGTGTCAACTCCCATGACAGTAAAACATTGGTTCACTATATTTGTCTAAGTCATAATTCTTTTTTGTAGAATTTTTTTCTTTGATTTTGCAATGACAATTGGCTACTGAGGATAATGAGTCATGGCATTCCTTCCTCTGCCTTTTGTAGATGTCAAGTAACAAATTACTTTGAAACTAGCCTTTGCCTGACCAAAAAAAAAAAAAAAATAAGTCTTTGGAATTGTTATGCCAGGAAAACTTAAAAAAAAGCCTCTTTGTTCATGTTCTCTGATAACTGGAGCCTAAGAGAACATGCCTCTTTCCCTTTTTCCAGAGAGTTCTACTCTTATGCTTCATCTGAATCCAATGGACCCTGTCCTTGTGAGGACACATGGAAGGACTGTTGTTTGCGTCTTAAGCACAGAAATTTAAAAGCACATTCTCAGTCACACTGATACGACCTGATAATGGGAAACAGAAAGATAAAATGAGAAAGAGACATAAGTAAAGCAAAGTAGACCACTTTGAGCATCAAATGACCAGGAAAATGCAAAAAAGTGACTAACGACAGAATATTAAAATGTATAGAAAGGAAAGAGTCATGAGGCATAGCATATTTATTATCACGGGTCACTAAAGGGGAGTAAAATAGGCCACCCCAAAATATGTCACTTTGGCATGTAGATTATTTTGAGCTGAAGGCAATCAAGACCCAGCAGACTCAGGAAAAACTTTAATCTCTTCCTTAACTACCTAAAAGAATTTATACAGGGGGCCTGGTCAAGAAAAAGAGCTATAACCAAGGATAACTTTTTTTTTTTTTTAAAGATTTTATTTTTATTATTTATTTGAGACAGAGAGAATGAGAGAGAGAGAGAGCGCACATGAGATGGGGGAGGGTCAGAGGGAGAAGCAGACTCCCTGCCGAGCAGGGAGCCTGATGCGGGACTCGATCCAGGGACTCCAGGATCATGACCTGAGCCGAAGGCAGTTGCTTAACCAACTGAGCCACCCAGGCGCCCCCAAGGATAACTTTTTAATCTGAAAGATCTATCTGCATGGCGGGGCAAACTTCTAATTATGAAACATCTGTTCTTCTTATGTCCATTGAACTGCCCTCCTCCCTTTGCAGCCCCTGGCTCCTCTCCCAATCCTTAGGTCAGGATGGCATATAAGCTTCAATTGCTCCCACTTGACCTTCAGTCTCATATTTGGGGGGGTCCCCTATGAAATTAAGTTTGTTTTTCTCCTGATAATCTGTTTTAGGTCAAGTTAATTATTAAACCAGCCAAAGAACCTGGAAGGGAGGAAGGGAAAATTCTTCCACTCCTGCATGACCCAGTGCACATACGTATATGTAGAAAAATCAAACAGAATTTCACAAAATTACTCTTATTATATACAAAGCACTCTGATAGTTTCTCATTTTCGTTCTCTCTTCTCTTTCAATTAAAAAAATGCTGGTGGTGACTCACCCTGATGATTTCATGACCCATAAGTGACAGACTTGGTTTAGATTTGATGAGCAGCTACAGCCCGTGCAGACTTCATTTCTCTGCTTCCCTTTTGCCCCAGCTGCCCTGTGCCTTTAGAAACAGAACACTTGAATTACTTATCCATCTGAAGTCACAGCTGCGTCCAGAGAACTTGGCTTTCCTGCATTCTGTACGCAAGTGACTTTTAAGTGGCTTTGGTCTCACAGTAGCTATCCCAGTGTCATTTACTAATAGGCCAGACCATAAGCTTCACTGGCCTCAAGGAAATATACAAACTTTTCCAAGTCATTGTGTACTTTTAATTTTTAATAATGTGATAAGTCAATAATGTGATCTGTGATATGATAGAAACAATCTGTAAAGACCATTTAAATGAAAATGACTTAGTTACATTAGATAAGCACAATACAGTTTCAATTTTAAACCTCATCTTAAGTAAGCAAATAAATATAACCTTACAGAACTTGTAGAAATGAAGCCTGTATCAGTGGTTGTGGGAAGAGGAGCCCCGTTTGCCTTAAATGAAATTTTTGTGTTGCTTCTAAATTATCTACACCATTAGTTAAAGATTACACGTTGGAATTCCCCGAAACTTTAAGAAGTCTGTATATTTAAAAGCAAAATTATTTTTTTAAATGTCCTCAGATTAAAATGTCTCCCGCATCTTTATTGCTACACTTTGCGGCCTAACCAAATGCAGTGTTTTGACTAGCCTATTTAGGATTTTCTTCATAATGACAGCAGAAAGGGCTTCATTTCCTTGTTACTTGAGAAGTGTCCCCGTCCTATCAACATTTATCTTTAGATGGTAAATAGCAGCGATTATGAAATTCCTGTTTGCCACGGACAGCACCACCTAGTGATGAGAACACGCCACCAATTTGCCCAATCAAAGATCAGAAAATGGTCTGTCTCCCTTTCCCAGCAAATGTTGGGGAAAATGCTGAAATTCCCAACCAGACGCCAAGCAGTGGGGAGAGTGGTTATCTCAGTACTCATGAAGAGTCCTGGGAGGAGTTGACAGCAAGAAGTTCAGAGATGTGCAAGGGGCTATCACCATGAGGAGAGTTCAGCAGGCGGAATGTCACATAACTCCCTTCCCTCTGTTCTCCGCTGTAAGCGGGACAGCAGGAAGAGAAAGTACTGGAAATATGCAGGGTTTTGCTGCTGCGCTCTTAAGTTGGCCTTGCAAAGATAAATAAAAAGACACCATAAAGCATTGTGGACTTAAAAACTTAAAGTGTACTTCAGTCATTTAAATTAGAGGATAATTCATATGTGAAATTAAAATGATACATTTGGATTCTTGATTGATATCCCTATTTAACCTAGTCCTAAAAAAAGGCAATCACTGATGTATTTGTTAACAAATTTATGACAGCAAATAGCTAGTAAATAAGTGTGATTTCACAAGTTTAATTATTCTTATGCCTCAATGAGAGGGCAGACTGACTCTTAAAATTATGCACTATTTTTAACTTATTTGCAAAGCCAAATAAATCAGTAACTCCCTACTTAAAGTAAATGAATCAACATTCCCGCAATCCCCTTAGGAGGTTGTGGCTTTGGGTTGGTGAATATTTTGAGAGTAGCACATTTTCCATGGAATGCTCTGGATTATCTCTATTTCAGTAAAGAGCCTAAAAATGGGTATAGAACCTTGCCCATAGAAATCCTCGTTAAAAAATTTTCAGATTCACGGAGCTCTTAGAAAGATAAAAAGACCTAATGCTTGCTACTGAACCTCATCACAGACCATTGACTTAAAAAAATGGGTACAGATTCTTTTTTTTTATTTTATTGTTATGTTAATCACCATATATTACATCATTAGTTTTTGATGTAGTGTCCCATGATTCATTGTTTGTGTATAACACTCAGTGCTCCATGCAGTACATGCCCTCTTTAATACCCAACACCAGGCTAACCCATCCCCCCACCCCCCCTCCCCTCTAGAACCCTCAGTTTGTTTCTCAGAGTCCATAGTCTCTCGTGGTTCATCTCCCCCTCCAAACTCCCCCCCCTCATTTTTCCCTTCCTGCTATCTTCTTTTTTTTTAAACATATAATGTATTATTTGTTTCAGAGGTGCAGGTCTGTGATTCATCAGTCTTACACAATTCACAGCGCTCACCATAGCACATACCCTCCCCAATGTCTATCACCCAGCCACCCCAACCCTCCCAGCCCCCACCACTCCAGCAACCCTCAGTTTGTTTCCTGAGATTAAGAATTCCTCATATCAGTGAGATCATATGATACTTGTCTTTCTCTGATTGACTTATTTCGCTTAGCATAATACCCTCTAGTTCTAACCACATTGTTGCAAATGGCAAGATTTTGGTTTTTTTGATGGCTGCATAATATTCCATTGTATATATATATATACACCACATCTTCTTTATCCATTCGTCTGTTGATGGACATCTTGACTCTTTCCATAGTTTGGCTATTGTGGACATTGCTGCTATAAACATTGGGGTGCACGTATCCCTTTGGATCCCTACATTTGTATCTTTGGGGTAAATACCCAGTAGGGCAGTTGCTGGGTCGTACGGTAGCTCCATTTTCAACTTTTTGAGGAACCTCCATACTGTTTTCTGGAGTGGCTGCACCAGCTTGCATTCCCACCAACAGTGTAGGAGGGTTCCCTTTTCTCCGCATCCTCGCGAACATCTGTCATTTCCTGACTTGTTAATTTTAGCTATTCTGACTGGTGTGAGGTGGTAACTCATTGAGGTTTTGATTTGGATTTCCCGGATGCCGAGCAATGTTGAGCACTTTTTCATGTGTCTATTGGCCATTTGGATGTCTTCTTTGGAAAAATGTCTGTTCTTGTCTTCTGCCCATTTCTTGATTGGATTATTTGTTCTTTGGGTGTTGAGTTTGGTAAGTCCTTTAGAGATTTTGGATACTAGCGCCTTATCTGATATGTCATTTGCAAATATCTTCTCCCATTCTGTTGGTTGTCTTTTGTTTTTGTTGACTGTTTCCTTTGCTGTGCAAAAGCTTTTATCTTGATGAAGTCCCAATAGTTCATTTTTGCCCTTGCTTCCCTTGTCTTTGGGGATGTTTCTAGGAAGAAGTTGCTGCGGCTGAGGTGGAAGAGCTTGCTGCCTGTGTTCTCCTCTAGGATTTTGATGGACTCCTGTCTCACATTTAGGTCTTTCAAAAAATGGGTACAGATTCTTAAAAAAATATATGATTGTATGGCATGTGACCTAGAGACCGTCAAAAAGTTCCTCCCAATTTGTGAGTGATACCTACCACCAGAAATTAGAGCAAATACCCAGAACCCCTCACCCTTTATCAAATAATGGCATTCTGAGAGGATCTATAGCTGGAAATACAGGTGGGGCTGGTAGAGTCAAGAGACCTCTTTAGATATGTGAATAAAATTATTTCAGCCCTGTAACATAGCAGGTAAGTTTAGCCTAATGTCTGAGCAGGATTCCGATGGTGTGAGGGGAAGACAGAGATTTTCAGTCTCAGTACTTTCAACTTTAACCCCCTGGATCCAAAGTGCCATATCATCCACAGGCATCCACAGTGTAAGAACAGAAGCATGAATGGAGATTTCTCAACTTCTCCAGCAAGGGTGGGGAAGCCATCAGTCAAGAATTTAGACATGGCCCTTCTGCTAACCTTCTCTGTCCTCCACCCAGCCCTACCTAGGAATTTTGGGTTGAGAAATGTGTGGCTGAACATACCCAAAAGATGTTGGAAATTCTGGTTGGTAAAGAGCCCAGACTGTAATTGGCCTCTGTCTTCTCCAAATCAACAGTGTGCTAACAGGCATTTATGTTTCTGTTATAGCTACAGCTGACCAGTCAGCAGCTTCATTTGAAATGGAAATGTCTCAGACTGGCTTCAGTGCTCATTATTCACAGGTACATTGACCACTTGGTAGAAAATGAAGTATCTTTTTTTTTAAGGTTTCCACTCCCAAAAGCAATGCCCAGGCATCAGCATTATAAGTGCAACTAGCAGTTCATGGCTTGAGCAGTTATTCCAACTGTGATGATGTTCCTAATCCAAATAGGAGGAAAATGACATTTCACAAACTTACTAGGAAAATGAGTTCTTCTACACAGTTCACTACACTGTACTAATAATTGTGAATCAAACATTTTGAGGTCTGCCTTATGTAATTATACATCTGGCTAAATGAAATACTTAACTTAAAATGGTTTCTAATGATATGGAATGTATCTTTTTCTCAGTTTCAGTGTATTCAAAGATCTTACTAGAATTCCATGTTCAAGACCTAGGATTCTTGAATTAACAGAATTAAACAGAAAGGCAAGATTAGGAAATGTATCATTTGTAGTTGAGGAAAGAAAATGCATCAGAGTCCATGCAAAGGAATATTAACATTGCAATGGGCAATTGTACTATACAACTTAGGGCAAGTTACTTACTCTGCCAAGTTACTATCATGTTATTGTGAAAATTAAATGAGTTAATATATGTAAAGCACTTTGACCAGAACCTATCACATTGTTAATGCTGTGTTCTTACTATTTTGTTAAATATCATTTGTTTTCTCTATTTGGATATAAGGACTGGGTCATGCTTGGAGCAGTAGGGGCCTATGATTGGAATGGAACAGTCGTCATGCAGAAGGCTAATCAAATCATAATCCCCCAAAACACAACCTTTAACGTTGAGTCTACCAAAAAGAATGAACCTCTTGCTTCTTACTTAGGTAAAGTTTGGATGTAATTGATAGAAAATTATTATGTTTTATTTTTGGTTTTGTTTTTATTTTTAGCATTCTTTGCTTATATTTATATAGGCTTACTTATAACCATGTAAGACAAATCACTTCCAAGAGTTAGACATTTTATAGGACCCATGAAAATTCCAAAACAGCCTTAGTTTCTGAGCAGTAGTCAGAATAATAGAACATAGAGGTCACGCTCTCTCAGAAGTGCAGGAATGGTTTAGGCTGATGTGTGCACTTTTTGAGGTCTCCCTGTGTTTGGTATTCTCATTAACTTCAAGAAGAGCTTTGCACCTGGTGGACAGGAAATTACGATAAAAAAGAGAAACCTTGATTCAGCTAATATCCTGAAGATCAGACTTCCATTTTCTCTTAAATATCCTATATCATTGGTTTCTTTCTATGGGTCCTAATTTTGGAAAAGAAAATGTTAATTTGTCTTGATATATAGCTTCTTCTTTAATAACTCTATTAAATAAGATAAATATTAAGATGTAATATCATCTTATTTTTCAAAGTCTTTTCTGGAATGAGGAGGTACATGTCAGGAATCACCTTATTCTAGATCTGTACCAAGCTGCCTAGGAGATACCAGGGATCTATTCTAGCACTAAATGATCTCAGTAAACAATTAGGAGGGCCTACGATGAAAAAAAAAAATGCTCAGGGTATGGTTTCCCAACTCTTTACTCACTCAACAAATATTTGACCGGTACCTATTTTGCCCCAGGCATTGTTCTTGGTGCTGGGGGTGTAGTGGTAAAGAAAACAAATACCTTTCACTGTTCAATTGTAGTATGTTAGCATTCCTCTCTGGGTTCTTTCTGTCCTGGAGGCAAGTCTTTTTCTCTCTCTATTCCAGTTTATTTCTATTTTACAAGGAAGATAGGAGGAGGTCTTTACTGGTAGATCCATACATCTCCTTATTCAAGGACACATCTTAAAACTGTAGAGGCAACAAGACTTAAGAAAAATGAAAGGCCTGAGGATTTAAGATAATTAAAAATATGGCAGTAAGCAGCAAATATAACGTGAGTCCTCAAACCCCTTAACACATGTGGAACTGCATTCATGAAAGTCTAGTTTATTTCTCATAAAAGTCCTATTACATTCTGCCCTGGTCAGACATTACACATAACAAAAGAAAATGCCAGACTAGGTTGTGCTGATTAAAAGATTATCTAAAGGATACTGACCTGGAAACAATTCCTTTCTCTCCTTCCCCAACCCCGACAAAATTTGAAGAAATTAATGGTTAGGAAACAAAATGTACACTGCATATCTTTTAAGTATTTGGAGGATTGTACTCTAACATAAAGAGGTTGGGCTCAAAATTCATATACGTTAAAAGAGATCTTAGCATATGGTAAACATCCAACTTTCCAAATTAAGATATTAAGGAATAGAAAAATGATGTCACAGCTACCTATGACAGATCTGAACTAGAATCTAGGTCTCTTGATTCTATTCCAGTGTTCCTTTCAAAATTAAAGACATTTACAAAATTAAAGATATGGCATGAAATCCACAAAGATGTGTGTGACATCTTAAGAAGTTCACACATTTTGGGGCACTTGGGTGGCTCAGTTGTTTAAGCGTCTGACTCTTGGTTTTAGCTCAGGTCATGATCTCACATTCCTGGGATTGAGCCCTGAGTTGGGCTCCATGCTCAGTGCAGAGTCTGCTTCAGATTCTCTCTCTCCCTCTCCCCACCCTTGCATGCGTGTGTGCACTCTCTCTCTAAAATAAATAAATAAAATCTTTTTTTAAAAAAAAAGCTCACACATTTTAATAACACTAGTTTTTTTATATTCTGAGTTATTATTATATGATAAAATTCCTTAAAACCAAACAGTCTTAAGAATCCTAAATCTATTATTCCTGGAAAGCTTAGATTCAAGGTTGTTTAAAACAGGCTTAGAGAATTTAAGACTTAAGGATATCATTGTGAGCAAGAAAAAAACTAAGAGAACCTTCATTCGTAACCACAGTATTTATAACATATGATTTCTTTCTGCCCAGAAAAGGAAATTTGGGGGTATGTTGTCCACAATGTGCTTAGATGATTTTATATTTTAGAAATCATTTCATTAGGTTAATCACAAGTTAGCACATAAGATATTTTGCCAGCATAAAGTTTAAGATATATAAGATTTCTTTTAAAATAGAAAAGCACCCAGAAAGGGGACAGGGAAGAAAAATACCTTTGTACCCACAAACATTATTCTAAATCTAAAATGGAACTTTCAAAATGTCTGCTTGTATGGGTTACAAATTAAGAAGAGTTTGAATGTGTTAGTCTGAAATCTATGTGGATTGCGAGTTGTTAAGCTGTGGAAAATCTCATGGAGGAAACAAAGTGAGAGGTAGATGCTCTATAGAAAAAAAAAATTTCATAGTAATCAATAATAACCAGAAAAAAAGTAGGAACAGAAACTGTTGAACCTCTCTCAGGGTATAGTCACTCACTCATCTTTCCACAACCCAGGAATTGCCTTAGGCCACTATGCACTTAGCAAGCGGTTTTGATGGTGAGAGTACAGTGGAAATCTCATTCCCTGCCTCCACTACCCACGGTCTGCCTCTTTCTAATCATGCCAGGCAAATTCAAGAGAAAAAGTAAAGATGTGAGGCAAATGCATGAAACCAAAGCAGAACAGACCTGTTTCCCATTATCTCACCAGATCCGAGCACTTTTCCCAAGGAGTGAATTATGAGAGCTGACAGGATCTATTTCTTGTAAATCCATGCAGAAGGCTATGCGATGAATTTTCCTTTTTCTTCAATTTTGTGCTTTCTCTTCAGAAAGCAACATTAAGCTTAGATGTTTATAATTATTTTCCTTTCAAGAAAATTAGACTTTACATGGCTTTCTTTCTCTCTCCCTCCTTATTGTCTTTAAACACTTGAGCTTCAACCAGTAAGGACCTAACCAGTAGACTACTGTCTTTGTGAAGACTTCAGTTAATAGATGTAGCTATCAAGAGCAAATTATCAGAATTAATTAACGAAATAATCACACAACTCCAAGCCTCAAACATAATTTTTTAACTTTTTTTAAAGGTTCTTTTATCAGTTGGCCTTCATAGCTCTGTAACTTAAAAAAAATCAAAGTGTACTAACACTCTTAGGCCAATCCCTTCTTAATATTTCTTAGTAGAGTGATATGAAATAAGACAGTCTTTGTTTTGCACATTCTTCTTTTTTATTTTATTTGTGTATAAACATGACCTTAAAGTTTTTATTTTTTAAGCAATATTGTGGTTAGTAACATAAGTACTTGTTTAGTAACATCACTTGTTTGAAAAAGAATAGTTTACAATTTATTATGCATATTTTTTAGAAGCTCAAAGAAAGATGAAGAAATGAGAATATGAGAAGAATATTCATGAAGGAAAAATGCCTGAGGAATTGTGTTCCTTTAGCACTCGTGAGATTAAACATGTTTTAGTGCTGAAAAACCTCTGTTCCTTTACAGAAATGTTGTAAGAAAGTGAAACTATTACCTTATAGTAAAACACTTGGAAAATAAATTTTCCATATAATCTTTCTCTTAGTAAGAAATACTGTTCTGTGACATTTGGAAAAATAATCTGCCCTCTTCTCCTCTATTGATGGGCAGATCTGGTTATTAGAACATTTCTTCTTTCTGTAGAGTTGAAATGTGCAATTTTTTATTCATTGATTTAGCTCTGTTCTCTATCGACACAAAGAATAAATTTAATTCTTCACTCAAAAATTGAATTGTCTGCCTCAAAGATACACAAAAACTGAAAGCCCAATTAAAAAGAGGAATGTCAAAGCTCACTTTATAAATTTAAATTCCAGTTAGTTAACACAGTGTAATATTAGTTTCAGGTATACAATATTGTGATTCAGCACTTCCATGCAACACCTGGTGCTCATCACAACAATTGCACTCCTTCATCCCCAACATCTGTTTCACCCATTTCCCACCCCCCAACTCCTTTTAATCAAACAAATGCAAATTAAAATCACAGCAAAGTATTATTGTTAGATTATGTTTAACATCTATTAGAACATTCACAAATTTAAATAATAGTAATGATACCCAACGTTTGTGAGAGTTTGATAAATCTAGTCTGTGCTTTGGCTGTTCATGGAATAAATTAGTAAAAATGTTCTGGAAACAATTTGCCAGACACTGAAATAATTGAAAATATGATCCAGTAATCTATTCCTTGAAATTTGTCACCAAAAACCCAAAAGAAGAAAAAAATTTAAATGTTCAAGGATGTCTTTGCAGCCTTAAGTATAATATCAAAAAATTAAAAACTACCAGGGCGCCTGGGTGGCTCAGTTGATTAAGCGTCTGCCTTTGGCTCAGGTCATGATCCCAGGGTCCTGGGATCGAGTCCCACATCGGGCTTCCAGCTCAGGGGGAAGCCTGTTTCTCCCTCTCCCATTCCCCCTGGTTGTGTTCCTTCTCTCACTGTCTCTCTCTCTGGCAAATTAAATAAATAAATAAATAAATAAATAAATAAATAAATAAATAAATAAATAATCTTAAAAAAAAATTAAAAACCACCTAAAAATTCTACCATTCTAGTGGGAATGATCCTGTGGTAGAAACGTAATCCCTTTATGCCTTCACTCAGAGAAATAAACATCAACTACTTAAAATTACTACTTAAAAATCTACAGCAGCGAGGGCACCTGGGTGGCTCAGTCAGTTAAGCATCTGACTCTTGATTTCGGCTCAGATCATGACTCAAGGTCCTGAGATTGAGCCCTGCATGGGGCTTCGTGATGGCCATGGAGCCTGCTTAAGATTCTCTCCCTCTACCTCTGCTCCTCCCCCCACCTCCCGTGCACACACGCACCCTCTCTCTCTAAAAAACAAATAAATAAACATAAATAAAAATCTACAGCAGCGACACCGAAAAGGCTTACATTTACTATGATTCCAACTGTATAAAATTATTAATTTTATAAAATAAAAGATAATAAATAAAATAATAAAATAAAAGTAATAATTATTAAAATTATTAGGTTCTATAAAATATGTCCAGATGAAGTACAACTGATTTATTACAAAGTCGTGAATTGGGATTATGAGGGATTTTTTGTGGGGGTTTTTTTTCTTCTTCTGTCATCATTGTCATATCATTTGTGCCTTTAAACAATGAAAAACCGAGGTGGGAGTGGACAAAGCAGTCGCAGTAATCAGAGAGCATGCTAAAAGTTTCTACAGAGACAAACTTCCCTGCATTAAAAAATATTTTCAAACATATAAAAATGATTCTCCCAACCATTTAAAATGGATCTTAATTTATTCTGTGCAGACTTTAAGGGGTCAGATAGTATATTTGACATCTGGTGTCGCTCTTTTGTTAGGTTACACAGTGAATTCCGCCACTGTTTCTGGAGATGTGCTGTACATTGCTGGACAGCCACGGTACAATCATACGGGCCAAGTTGTCATCTACAGGATGGAAGATGGAGACATCAAGATTCTCCAGACACTCAGTGGAGAACAGGTAAGCTTAAAAATTATTGTTTTAATTTAATCCATGTATACTATGTAAATTTAAATTAACCATCAACTGTCCTAAACTCTAAAAAGAAAAAGTACTGGGGCGCCTGGGTGGCTCAGTCAGTTGAGTGTCTGCCTTCGGCTCAGGTCATGATCCCAGGGTCCTGGGATCAAGCCCCACATCGGGCTCCCTGCTCAGCAGAGAACCTGCTTCTCCCTCTCCCTCTGCCCTCCCCTACTTGTGCTCTCTCTCTGTCAAATGAATAAATAAAATCTTTAAAAAATAATAATAAAAAAAGAAAAAGAAAAAGTACTGTCCTAGTCAACATCAACCCTAAACAGGGCTCCATGTTAGCTTCCTTGCAGAGATGTAAAATGCCTGCATCTTTGGCCTCAGGAATATTTCAGTTGCATGGAAATGGAGATAAGATGGATAGATGATGTAGACACACATGTACAAATATATACATATAAGAAAAACATTCTAAAACATTAAGCCTGAAAATGCCAATGGCACAGACAGTAAATGCAGAAGATGGAAAGATTGTTTTAAGCTAGGATTGGTGCCAAAAGTCTTACCACGAGATCAGATTTGTGCTAGTTTAGAAGGAAAGACAGACCGTAGATAAGTAGAAAGAGCAGAAGAGCCAGTTAAAAAGATAACGCGGACCCCAACTGTGTGAGGTTTTTGAATGACAAACTAAAGAATTTGGATTTTCTCCTGGAAGTGTTGGGGAGTTATGTAAAATCAAAAAATTCTCATTAGATGATATTGAATATTAAAAGTAGTTTAAGAAATTGTACATGCAATATGCAAACATAAATATATGTAAATATTTTTTAACCGAAACATCTATGTGATTGGTTAGTATTGCATTGCAGTCATTTGGGCTTCACTAAATATCCCAACTCACCACACTGCCCCTCCACCCTCCTCCCATCACCAACTACTCCACAAGGCTGGGCAGCAGCAGCCTTCCTCCCCCGCAGGTGTACTCACAGCTGCCCAGCGCAGCAGAACAGCTTAGGTCAGAGGAGACAGACACGTCAGGCAAGGACAGAGCTGCCCTCTCTTTAACGCCCCACAGGAGCCCATATCTTTTAGAATGACACCATAAACATAGCTTTCAGGGCTCTAGCTAAGGGCGTGCGGTTGTCAGAGTCATCTTGGGAAGCTCAAACTATGTTAGCTCCATCAGGTATTTATAGATCCCCACAGCCTAAATGCAATGTCCCAACCAGAGATTATTTTGACCAATCTCAATATTGCTTAGTAGTATAACTGAAATCCTTTCCCCCACAGATATCCAGGGGAACAGAGTTAGAGTGAACCAAAAGTAAGAGTCTCATGTATAAAGATTTTCATATATATAAAATAATAATACCTGGTGAAAGGGTTTTATTAGCCTTTTGCCCACATTTGTAATCAAAAAATGCTTCAACAATCTAAAAACAGGCTAAGGTGAAGAGAGCCTAAAATGATGTATCACCAATAAAAATGGAAAAGGAAGGAATGCAGTAGACATAAATAAGGAGGAACTGACAGGATTGTAAAACGAAGCATTTTCTATGACATCTTAGGTCTGATATCACTCTACTAATTGTCTACAAGACAGGAAGTGAGAATTTTGTGAAAAATTACTCATGAAAGTTACAAATGATTTAAATTACAAATGATTTAAGTTTCGAGCCTGGGAATCTGAGGGAAAGGTGACACCATTATTAGAATGTCAGCAACTCAAGCAGTGTAGATTTTTTTTTTTTTAATGGTATTTGGTTTTACATATTTCCTGTAACAGTGAGCACAAATTCAAATGGTTGTGGGTGTCAGGAAGGTAAAGTAAATAAATAAAGCTACTACACAGAAGACAGCAGGAAATGGTGGGAACCATGGACTGGACAGCTCATGAGCCTTCAAAACATTAAGCTCCCACTCAGCTCCAGATGGCTATTGTCATGGGGGAATGAAGACCCAAGGTTGCTAGATCTTACAGCATTTTATTTATGTTTGTAATTAATTCAACTTAAAAAAAAAAACCTTTTCAACCCTTCATAACCTATGAGGAAAGGACATTTGAAAGCCAATGTCTAGCAGCTGTCTGAGTGTCTAGCAATGTCTAGGAATGCAGAACTGGAGCCTTGAGCAGAAGATAGAATGAAATTTGCCATTTTCAGTAATAGAAATGTTTGGAAGGATTGGCCATCTAGGAGAAGAGAATGGTGGAAAAGTGCAAGTCTTAGCTTAGGGAAGGCCAAAATCTAGGGCATGGGAGGAGGAAAAGGAACCAGCAAAGATGAAAACAAAAGGTGGCCTGTGATATCGTGGCAGAATCAAGAGAGCAAGATTAAAATCATGGAAGCCAAGACAGGAAGTTTCAATAAGACAGCTATCAAGAGCATCAAATATTAAACACAGGTCAATATTTGGGAAGGTTATTGCATTTAGGTAATGAAGTGCAAGTCTCCTGCATTTCCCTAAAATATATCCATATCTTTAAAATAAAAAACATTGCTGCAAGGGGATGGTCCCCCTGCAATCCTTTTATATTTTTCTACCTTCTGCAAGTGCTAGGACAAGACTTAGCCATTTTGTTGAGTAAACAATCTTCTTTTTTTTTAAAGATTTTATTTATTTATTTATTTATTTATTTATTTATTTATTTGAGAGAAAGAGCATGAGTGGGGAAGGGGAGAGGGAGAGACAGAAGCAGGCTCCCCACTGTGCAGGGCGCCCAACGCAGGGCTCCATCCCAGCACCCTGAGATCATGACCTGAGCTGAAGGCAGACACTTAACCGACCGAGCCACCTAGGCACCCCAATCTTCTTTTTTTTTTAATTTAAATTCAATTAGCCAACTTATAGTACATCATTAGTTTCAGATGCAGTGTTCAATAATTTATCAGGTGCGTGAGCTAACAATCTTCTAAGTCTACAAAATGAAATTCCCTGCACTGGTACCCCAAGACATTCAGTTCTTCCTATTGTATTTTATTTCTTATTTTTATATTACTGTGTATAAACATATATTGAAGCCATCCCAGAATGCCTTTTATTGTTTAATCTCATTTTATTTCCTTAAAAAAAATCATGGTGGCATTACTTACATTTTCTGCTTTTTGGAGAAGAGACATTAGGATGAAATCTAAAGGAAGCCGTTTCTCTTACTCTCAGGCTGCAAAATCTATGACAGGGGCTCATCCTCAAGGGTGGGTCTGCCTATTTATTAGCCCCTGACAAGAGCCATTAAAGAGCTCTCAGGTAGAATCCATTTCTATACTTTATTTCCATTCCCGTATCTATCTGAATCTCAAATACTCTTCTAGATGAGGATAAGTAAAAGAAATGCAGGCTTTTAGCTATCTTGAGAATTTCTGATGTTCATCAGACTATTTTGTTTTGTTTTGTACCCTAGATTGGTTCCTACTTTGGCAGTGTTTTAACAACAATTGACATTGATAAAGATTCTAATACCGACATTCTTCTGGTTGGGGCTCCCATGTACATGGGAACAGAGAAAGAGGAACAAGGGAAAGTATATGTGTATGCTCTTAATCAGGTAATGCTACCTCTGAGTTTGGCAGAATTTCAGGAATATCTCTTCCTTTCTTTCAATTTCAAATAAGTAATGCAGTTCCAATTTTGTACTCACTTTAGAAAAAGGAGCGAAGAATCTTTCAGGGCCTCTTTACCCCCACCAACTCCTCAGTTTCTAAATGAACATTTTAGAATTCTAATAAGGTAGTTCAAACCATTAGATGTCTTCTGCTTGGAAATGTGAACTATTCCTTTTTAGCAGAAAATATAGAATAAAGATAAATATAAATCTCGTTAAACTGCTAAATAAACTCACAGGGCAGCCATTCATGGCTCTGGCCTGGAGGTGTTGGAAACATTAGCGGTTAAAACTGCATTCGCTGTCAAAACAGTTAAAGCTAGGGAAGCAGAGAGACTGTGGAGTAGTGAATTTTAAGGCAGTGACACCAGTTTCAGCAAACTACTATGGTCTTTGGAATACCTCACTGGGCTGGAGTGAGATTTTGTTTGCCGCTCCTGACTTTAGACATCATTTGTTAGGTGAAATAATTCTCGATTTCTTCATTAGAAGAGTTTTTTGTTTTGTTTTGTTTTGCTGTTTATGGAAAAGTCCAGTATTCATCTATTTAGCTTTTTAAATTCTTAGTCTCTCCAGTTAATTTTTTAATTCATAAATTGTATATCTTTCTTCCTATCATTTTGTTTGCTTCCTCCATCAATTTTTTTTGGGGGGTCCTGTACTGTTTTTTCCCTTTTTTCCTAGAACTTGTGTTCCTGTCCATCATTACTAGTACTTTCTTTACTGAGTTTTTCAGGGTTTTGTTTTTTTTTTTGCTTTAGATAGCTTTGGGAAAAGTTTGCTTTTTGAACAGTATAATTTTCTCTTTGCCCTATAGAGGAGACTCTACAGAGACTTTTCAAAGAAGCAAATTTGGATGAAGGAAGGATAAAGGCCTGAATTGAGGATTTAAAAATTCAGTTCTTTGGCTTTAAAAACATTCTGTGAGTTATATACTCACTAGGTTGCATTAAAAAGAGAATCCATTAAAATCCTCAATATGCCTTCTTCCCTACACTTCTACAATCTGTTCTTTCAAATCTTTACGTGGTTCTCAGATAAGCACCCTTTTTAAGAAATTTTATAAATTTTACCGTTGATGTACAAATGGTTTTTAACAGCACTGATTTAGCATGTACTTAAAAATTTCACTATGCTGTAGTAATGATAGAAATCCAGAAGTATCCTGTTTATCGTTCTTCCAGACAAGGTTTGAATATCAAATGAGCCTGGAGCCCATTAAGCAGACTTGCTGCTCATCTCTGAAGCACAACTCATGCACAAAGGAAAACAAAAATGAGCCATGCGGGGCTCGTTTCGGAACAGCTATCGCTGCTGTGAGAGACCTCAATCTTGATGGATTTGATGACATCGTGATAGGAGCTCCCCTGGAAGATGATCATGGGGGAGCCGTGTATATTTATCATGGGAGTGGCAAGACTATAAGGAAAGAGTACGCACAAGTAAGAAGTTAAACCTACACATTCCCACCCTTAAACGATAAGTGGGTTCAATGCTAGGCTTGCTTCTTGTCTTGCTTCATGAGTTACTTGATTTTTTTTTCTTCTTCTGACTCTATTGGGAAACTAGATTTACTTCTCTTTTCTTTACAGAAGCATTATTTTGTATTTTATCCGTTTATCTAGGTTTTTTTTTTTCCTGTTGTTATTTGCCATGTCTCCATGATCTGAGCTCTTGCAATAGTAAAACACAAACCAAAAAAAAAAAAAAAAAAGAACACTTTTTAACGATGTGATTTAACAGTTGCAGTGTGCCTGATCCTAAACAGAGGATACCACTTTCTGAATAAGAGAACAATAATGATATAATTTAGCCAATAAAGATGAGATTATTGTTTTTATATTCAATATCCGTGTTGTTATAATGAAATTGCATTACATTTATATTTATAACTTAAATTGGTATATTTTTGTCAAATGAATTTGGGTTCCTGAAGGTTTACAATTTCCTCACAAGTAATCCCTCTTGGAAAAAAATCTAAATAATTAAGCTTAACCTGCAGGGATTTCTGTTGTTCTTGTTTTAAATGTATTGTCAGTTAATGGTTCTAATCCGTAAATGTAATTTTTTCTACATAAGAAAAATATCAATTTGCAGAAGTATTTAATGCACTATAAAAGTAGGAGAGTTTAAAGGGATTCTTCTAATGTAATTGTCTGTTTTAAGTAACCATAAGTAGTTAGGCATTGAACTACTTATATAACATGAAAAGAAAATCAGAACACCAATTATTTCTTTTTATAGTTGTTCTTTTTGTACTACAGTCAACAAAATTCTCAAAATCCATTCATGTGAAGTTGTGCTTAATTTTTTGTAAAGTGATAATGACATTAGTGAAACAATAAAGTAAAGGGTATATTTCAGTAACAACACTACCATCCACTTAGTAAATTATTTGTTTTCAAATAATTCAAAAGTCTTCATGGTATTACTTAACTGAAAACAGGCAGTATTAACCATGGGAGCATGATAGAATGAGGAGCTGCAGGAAGGCATTTCTTTCTTGTTCTACCACTTTATTCCTTCACTCTTAATCCTGAAAACTTAGTGAAATGACATTTGCAGTAGAAAAAAAAAGAGGATATTTAAATCATTAATAATTGGATAGATTGTCATAAGAAATTTATTTTGTAAAATGGTGGTAACTCAAGATGCAGCTTTAAATAACAAGAAAAAAGAATAGTAGAGTTGAGTTTGCTTAATTATTGGCAAAATGCTTTCCCAGGGATAGGTGAGGATGTGCTCACTTGTTTCCATGGTAACCAGAGGTGTATGTGTTTGTGTATGTGATAATCCAGAATCAAACTGAGTGAACTCCTCCAGAACCAATGAGGCAGATGTCTCGGGTTTGTTTGCTGAAAAACTAAGGAAATACTTCCCAATGAGCCACAAACATTTCAGCATGCAAAATGTTTCCATTTGGTTTGCCTTTTTTGGCTTCTTAATTTATGGTTTTTAAGAAGACCTCAAGTTTAGGGAGGGTCTGTCAGTCCTGTCTCCTTGCCATCAGGTTCTATTAAAATGTTATCAGCTTGAACAAAAGCTAAATCAGGAAATATGAATATTAAACACATTATGTGTGGGTATGTGCACAAATCAGCCTTGAGAACTCCACATTCATTTGTACCTATTGAGTGTGTGCCCTTGACTTTTAGCAAAGAAGATCATACACTGGAAAATGTATCTGATGGAATGTGCTATTTATATCCATCCCCCAAATTTCGTGAACCCCAAACTGACCCCTAGGACAAACTTCTACTTCCTCTCTTGCTTGTATGATGTGTTTTCAAGGTTCCAGTATCTTTAAATATCTCTGTGTTATGGGATTGAGTGGGAACTAGAAAGGAGAGCCAATTACTCACAATGTTTTCCTTGAGCATTAGACAAAATGACGTTATAAAATTTTTTTCCCTCTCTCTGGTGTCAGTAACCCTGGATTATTTTGTCTGTACTATAAAAAGAATAACCTTTGGTAACATCTGAGTAATTCAACTTGTCTCCACATGAGGGGCTTCTTTGGCAGGTTTCCAAAAGATCTGCAATTTTTATTTTTTGTTAACCAATCCAAGTTCTCAGATTTATTTAAAACTGTTTTTGAAGAGACACTCTGGCATAAAAACTCTCTGTTGGGACTTTTACAGCGTATTCCATCAGGTGGAGATGGCAAGACACTAAAATTTTTTGGCCAGTCTATCCATGGAGAAATGGATTTAAATGGTGACGGTCTGACTGATGTGACTATTGGGGGCCTTGGTGGTGCTGCCCTCTTCTGGTATGTATTTTAATAACATCCAATTCATCCAATGATACTGCACAAATAGTTCCAGAGCTCAGAGTATGATTGGAGCTCGTGTCATACCAAATATCTGTTTTCTTTTGTACCCCATTATTTAGATAAAAGCTATTTAGTTAAAGAATCTGGAGGAGTCAATAAATCTTAAAAATAGAGAAACCATATTAAAGGAACAAGTAGAACCAACTCTTAATTTGGGGTACTTATTATGTGCTTGCCACTAAGGTAGGTATTCTGTTTTAGGGGGCAGCATAGGGAAGAAGAGGGCCTCATAGAGAATTATATAAACAAGAAAATATGCTTAACTTTGAGTTGTTCACAAACTTTTCGGGGTAATTGACTCTTCATTCATTTACCTAATATGTATAATTAGACAATTGTGCATCATTGTCTGTTTATATTATATTTCTATTACATATATTTTATATATATATTATATTTATACCATACCATACATAGATGGTAACTGCACATATTGTGGTGAGCATAGCATAATGAATACAATTATTGAATCACTATGTTACGCACCTGAAACTAATATAATATTGTATGTCAACTATACTTCAACTTAAAAATTTGAAGAAAAAATTTAAAAATTAAAAATAGAGATAATATCTAAGAACTTATGGTCAAATAAAAATTGTACACTAAACTGTACACAGATAATAACCATTATGTTAAAAAATGGTTTAACTGTACAGTAGGGGGAAAAGAAATTGTAAGGTGGTGCCTAGGAAAGGAGAATGCTGGGTAGCAAGTAGCTGTGACTTGGGGGAGGGCTCACCCAGAAGCAGGACTCCAACCCAGAAGTCGCCAGTATCAGCAACAAAAGGTACAGTTAGTCTCTGTTTAAATGGTTAATCCTGGATTAATTTATTTTGATAACCTTAACTCAAAAAATATTTAGTGTATTCACTCTCATATTAAAAGTACATACATTATAAAGGCAATTTTTACTCTCCAGTTTTGTTTCAAAGGTTTCTTACAAAGCTTTGAAGACTTATTTTTATGGCCTCTTTTACTCCCAGTCAGTGCTTTATCGTTGATGGGCCAAAATGACAGAGTTGGACCCCTATCATTGCCCAGCAGAATGGACCAGACCAACAGACTGGGACACGAAGACCAAGATTTACAATGCTGAAGGAGGGATTTAGAGTGGATATAGGTGGCAGGCAATAAACAGAAGTCCATCCCAATCAGGGACTTCCAGGAGCAGATATTGAACGCCCCATCATGTGGAATAAATTGTGCTATAACCCCTTTAAGACCTTGTTGGGGCAGATGGGTGTGCGGTGGGAAGTGGTCAAGGCAGCCTCATTCCTGAAGGATCCAAACTACTAAGCAGGGAACTAGACATACTCGTTCATTGCTGGTGAAAGAGGAAACTGGTTAAAACACATTAGAAGGTATTTGCCAATAACTGTTAAAAAGCCTTAAAATATTCATACTTTTTAACAAGGAATTTGCTTCCTAAAAATTTTTAAAGATTTAATCTACATCTAAGATATATAATCTTTAGAGTGATCACAGCACTGGGCTAGTAACTATTTAAAAAAAAAACAAATTAAGACAAATGTCCAATAAGAAAGGACTGAGTAAATAGATTACAATACATGCATATGTTGGAATAGTATATTGTCATTAAAAATCATGTTTCCAGAAAAATACAAATATTGGAAATCTGTTCATTATATTATGATGTTTTAAAAGTATGTATGGATTTATATGCACGTGTGTGTATGTCTCCCTGTATATGTGTGTGTATATATATATATATAATATATATATACACACACACACAGACACATCTATATGCGTAGATATATATTCTTCAAAGAAAAAGAAGCATATCCAATATTAATGGTGATTATTGCTGAGTGGTAGAATTACAAGTGATTTCTGTTTTCTTTGTTTCCTTTTTTATGTTTTCATGTTTTCTAGGGGTAAGATGTTTTAAAAGAAAAATATAGTTTTTTAATGCAAAAGCAAATCAAAGACCCATGTATTCACAAGATAACTAGCTATAGAACTTGTACTTGTCTGTACAAGTATTATAGTGCACACAAGTTGTCCATGGGCCTTTGGACTCTTTCCAGATTGGGAACAAATTTAAAGATTCCCAAAATATGGTTTTGGTTCTGAGGTTGCACCTGAGCACTTGATTCCATCTTCCTTCCATCACAAGCAAACAGATTTTTGTCTTGTGAACTGTAAGGAATGAAAAATAATCTTCCTTCTAGCCTTCTGAGTTCTTGGCTGATACCCTTGTAATAAAAGATTAACAAGAGAAAAACAAATAGTTTATTAACATGTATGCCCCATGTATACGTGGGAGATACCCAGAGAAAAATGAGTAATTCTTTGAGGTGGCTTAGAATTCAGACTTAAATACCATCTTAATAGAGAAGAGGAAGAAGGTATGTAGGCCTCTATAAGGAGAGTAAATACTTTTTAAGGAAGTTAAATGGACCTAGGAAAGACCAGATGGGTGATATGATAGTTTGTGACAAAGCTCATCTCCTCTGGTGTCTCCTGTCCTGTGATAGGAGTCAGTCCTTCCTGGTCGATGAACTCCAGTGAAGTTCCTTTTGGAGTGTCTGTCTTTGGGTACAAGGAAAGTTTGCAGAAGCCTCTTCCTGCATTTGCTGTTTGTCAAGTGCCTACAGCTCAAAATAATCAATATACCAAAGTGATATGTTTTGGAGTGACATGGCCTGAGCTCCTGTAGTCACATTTTGAGGTAGTATATTCTGCTACCACTCAGAACCAAAGCCTAAGATAGTCCCAAAACAACCTGGGTGTCCTCAGAACATCAGATACCATCTCTTCTGTGAATCAAAAATTCACCAAAGAGGGACGCCTCGGTGGCTCAGTAGGTTAAGCACCCGACTTTTGGTTTCAGCTCAGGTCACAGCCTCAGGATCCTGGAATCAAGCTCAGCGCAGAGTAAGCTTGAGGTTCTCCCTCTCTCCCTATCCCCTGCTCACACATGCTCTCTCTCTCTCTCCCTCAAGTAAATAAATAGGGGCACCTGGGTGGCTCAGTAGGTTAAGCATCTGCCTTTGGCTCAGGTCATGATCTCAGGGTCCTGAGATCAAGCCCCAAGGTGGGCTCCCTGCTCAGTAGGGAATCTGCTTTTCCCTCTCCCTCTGCCTCTCTCCTCTGCTCATGTACAAGCTCTCTTGCTCTCTCTCTCTCAGATAAATAATATCTTTAAAAATGATAAAAAATAAAATTAAATAAATAAGTATTTTTTTAAATCACCAAAGAAATGGAATCCTGAGAGCCCAACTATACACAAAGAAGTATCCCCATCAGTGCATTCACTTTGCACTCCCATAATGATGGCATTCATTAAATGTGAAAATGTGTGAATAATCATCATTATTTATGTTTGTAGGTCCCGAGATGTGGCTGTCGTTAAAGTGACCATGAATTTTGAACCCAATAAAGTGAATATCCAAAAGAAAAACTGCCATGTGGAAGGAAAGGAAACGGTATGCATAAATGCTACAGTGTGTTTTGATGTGAAATTAAAGTCCAAAGAAGACACAATTTTTGTAGCTGGTAAGTGTCATACGTATACCAAGTACTTTGGGGCAGCAGGACAATACATTTGGTCCCACATGATGAAATCCAGTAAGATATTGTATTTTACCCCATGATAGGGATCTGCTTATCACATTTGCCCCTGTGAACATGTTGAACCTTGAAAAAAAAAAATCTACTAAAGAAAGACTATGTTATGGAACCCAATAAAATCTGGAGCAGAAACTATATGCTTATATGCAATGGTCTCCACAGTCCATAATTCCCCTCTGGCTCTCCCATTTACCACAAACAACCAGGTGCTAAAAACAATAATAATTATACCATTTCAGAAGTAGAGTTTGGAGATTGGGCCAGGAGCCCAGTTTTCCTTCTTGTGGGTTTTCACAACCCCTCTGTTCCTTCTCCTGCGTTCTCTTTGGTAAGACTGGTATTACAAAGCGCTTGAATGCTTTGCCACCCCCACTTCCTGAGATCTCTTTGCTCCATTTAGAAGGTGACCTGGTTTTTGAGAATCAGACATGTTCCATGTGTCTGTTCTCGGGCACAGTCTAGGTATGTCTTCCTCCCTACACATACACTTCCTAAGGTGGCTTTTTAATGATATTGAAATATGTTGGAGTCAAAACTGTGGAGGCCATAGGCTGCAAAAGAGTAGTTTACTCTATAAACCAAATGTAAGTAGAATATGAAAAATCATTAATCCTTAAAAGCTATTTTTCATAATTATGCTCTGCAATGGCCCTCTGACTAGAAGATAAATGAGGTAAAAATGTAAAATATGATTTACATTTTCATATACAACATTGTTTCAGTCTCATTTAATTTTTATAGAGTAACTAAGCAATCAAATAAGTAGGATTGTTGCCTTTTTAGAAAGTATAAGTTTAACTTGTTTTTTATTTTGGTACGACTATTTTATTAAACTTACTTATTAAGCTTCTTTCATTATGTGCTTTGAACAGTCTGAAGTGACTTTTTCATAAAATAGATAAGAATTCATTAGTGTATATTTTTTTTATCTATTGAAATAAAATCAGGGGCACCTGGGTGGCTCAGTTGTTAAGCATCTGCCTTCGGCTCAGGTCATGATCCCATCGGGCTCCCTGCTCGGCGGGAAGCCTGCTTCTCCCTCTCCCACTCCCCCTGCTTGTGTTCCCTCTCTCGCTGTGTCTCTCTCTGTCAAATAGATGGATAAAATCTTTAAAAAATAATAATAATAAAATCAATATTCTAAACAGGGCTTCAACATTGCTAAACTAAAAAAAAATAATTTAAGTGAAAACCCAATAAACACATGCATGGTCAGAAAATTAGTTTATATGTTGGTGTTCATGTGTATGAGTGTGTGGGTGTGCGTATGTACATATACGTTATAAAATAAGTGTGAGTAAACATCAAAGGCATAGTGAACTCAGAGAGTGGTTCTGTAGAGTTCTTGAAGGTTATCTTCATGACTGGGACTACCATTGTACTACAGTAGTGTAGATAAGCTGAGTAATAGAAATTTTTTGTTGACTGATTGCTCAAGAGATTTTTCTATAATGTTAATTTAATGAACTAGACCATATAAAAATTACCCCAAGTAAATATTTCTGTCATTTTGTTTCCAGATATGCAGTACCGTGTCACACTAGATTCACTAAGACAGATATCACGAAGTTTTTTCTCTGGAACTCAAGAAAGAAAGATTCAAAGAAACATCACAGTTGAAGAATCAGAATGCACTAAGCTCTCCTTCTACATGTTGGCAAGTAAATCATATGTTATAGCTGCTTTATTCCAAATCAAGAATAAAGCATAGATGTCTTATTTCAAGTCAATCTTATGGATTTCATTTCAAAGTGCACATGATGAAGTAAACTTCATTTTATTTGGTCACTTTTATCAGAAAATCACAGGTCTGATTTTCAGATTTCCAAGTGCATTTCATAAAACTATCTTTCCTCTTCCCTGTGTGTGTTATCAGTCATCCTTATATTATGGAATTGTAGAAGGCACAGTGCACTAGTTGATAAGAAACCTTCTGCCTTCATTCATTCATTCATTTTTTATATTCATTCATTTATTCTTTCAAACTGAAAGCATCATTTAACTTTTGTGGGCCTCATCTGTCACATGTGGATAAGTGATTACATGCCCTGAGGAGAAATGTTGGGCCATAGGCTTTCTGGGGTCCCTTCTTGTCCACAGAACTATGTATTTCACTTTTTGACTTTAAATTAAAGGGAAAAAATCTGACATTTTCTATTATCCATAGGCTTTGTGCTACCTAAGTTTCTTTCTGTTACAGTAATAAGGGAGCCTTGGAAAGCAAATTATTAATCTCCGTAAATGGCTAGGAAGCCAGTTTGAACCATTTAAAATGCATTTTATTTAGTCACTATGTAAATGTGAAATGTTCCTAATAAGGGCAGGAGTTTCTTAACATTTTCTTATAACGTACATGATACTTAAAGAAAAAAAAAGAGGGAAGAATGGATGTAATGAGAAAACACAGATTTTAGTGACTGAGACAGACTTGGGACTTATACATGATCCTGGAATTTTAAAGGAAAACAGGCTGATTTCCCCCCACCTCTGATTTATTTCTGTATTCTTGATGTATTCATACTCTATATTTTTAAAATATTATAGTCAGGGTAGGGAAGTGACAGAAAACATGCCTGTTGATGTACTGTATTTTTCTTCAGTGATTTTCAAGTCAATATTCCCCACAGAATATATATCAAAATTAACTTATCTGTCAACACTAAGATCAATCTATAATCAGAAAAAAAAAAACTGGAGTTATCCCCCTATTTACTTCATCAGAACTGAACATTTAAGAGTTAGAACTTGTATAAAATTTGAAACCAGATGTGCCCCTGCCTTCAACCTACTAGAAATCACTGTAGTGTATATTTGTCCAAAATGTAGAATCTAGCTATGTGTAGGCACTTGGTATTAAAAGGAATGAACTGGTTTCAAAATTTCTAAAATTCTTTAAGTTTTAATAGATACATTAACATTTGTTCTGGAGTCAGCCACGATGGAATTTGTCTCAAAGGCTTCTCTACATTCCAAATGATTTTGACCAAGTTGTTTAGTCTCTTAGAGGCCCAGTTTTTCATTTGTAAAATAATGACTATAATAGTTATTCATTTTGGAGGACTGTTGAAATACTTCTCAATAATGTGTGTAAAGCTCATAATTCCGGACATGCCATAAATGATGGCTGTTACTTATGATAGTATAAAACGATATTGGTTGCATTCCTATTACTTACATACCATTTTACATTATAAAATTCTTGCAACTTGAGGCATATATTATACTTATGAAATTCAATTCAATTTAAAGAAAGTTTGCTCATTTGAACTTGGGAGACTTTCCTAGAAGTATTACATGGCAGTTTTTAGCTCAAGATCTCAAGAGAAAAGATATTCTTATACAAGCAGCCCAGAGTAGTATATCTTGACATGGCAAAGTATGGCACATCCTATTACTCCAGCAGGGCCCCCGAGAAGCTGGTGGTGGATCAACTGGTCATATTCTGAAGACTCTGCATTCAGCAGTGTCCCTTATCAAGGCAGAAGGCAGTCTCTCTCCAATGAAGCAAAAGCCTGATGAGATCATATGTCAGATCAGGTGCACAAGAATGTTCCAGCAAGCATAACCCACAGGGGCAGAAGAAGGAAGCCATAAGAAGGTCAGAACATTCAGCAAATATGATACCAATGATATAATATGTTATGCTTCAACCTGTAGGACAAGCATGACTTTCGGGACTCTGTAAGGATAACTTTGGATTTTAATCTTACCGATCCAGAAAATGGGCCTGTTCTTGATGATTCCCTACCAAATTCAGTACATGAATATGTAAGTCATATTTTTTTAAAATTCAGAATGCCTATATGTGAACATATTGGGGGGAAAAAATCTGAAACATATAAACACACGTACACAAACCTACATCAATTTTTTAAAAAAAGAATGAGACTCTTCTAGACTTTTCTCAACTCTTCTATTTCCTATTGTTGGAGGGAACTTACAAATAGCACCTCTTTTAATCTCTGCTAAATTTAGGACCAGTTGAAAGAACGACATGGTTTAGCTTCCTGGAACTCACTTTATTACTAATGAGCACTGGGTTGCATACATGGCTTGGGCATATTGGGTGTCCTCCTACTGAACAAGGTTTAGACCACAAATAACCAAGTGCATCATCAGAGTGCTCATTAATCTCAGGCCTCTTTCAAGGGGGCCCACCTCATAAAACTTGCAGAATGGAAATATAGAGCAAGAATGTATGCTTCCCATGGGCACACCACTGCCCCAAGAGCAGGAGAGGTGGGAAGGGACTGAGCTGTGTTCACCCAGCTCCTGCTTCCAAATTCACAAAGTCCAATGTCTCACCCCTGAGAAAGAGTGAGTGAGCAAGTAGAAAGATGGGGTGGCACCAATGGAGGAAGCATTAGGGATGGGGAATTAGTTTTCCCCATACCCATATCTTTCACTTTCACTTTCCCTTTCTTCCTTTCAAATATATTTATTGGGTATCTTATCCATACCAGGCTTCAGAGTTTAGTCTAACCTAAGAAACAGGTATTAGGTAGGAATTAAAGCATGTGCTCTGGAGAACTTAATTGTTTTATGGGAACTTCTGCCTACATAGAAAGTCAGGGCTCACACCCCTGAAGTTGTGACATTTAAATTGAGACCTGAAGCATAAAAGATTTTCCATCCTATTCACAGGAGTGGAGGGAGCTGTGTTTCGTTCACAGAGATATGTGTAAAAGTTCTGAGGCATAAAGGAACTACACTAAACTCTCTAATGTGGCTGAAGCTGAAGAGCAAGGGGGGAAGGTGATAGGGATGAGGAGGGAGGCATAGGCAGGAACCAGATCATTCTGGACTTTGTGCTACTGCACAGATATCTTGAAGAGCAAACAGAATGCTATTGATGGTTTCGGTTGGTTCAGTGATAGTACTGGATTTATATATTTTTAAGGATTACTTCAGCTGCAATGTAGAGAATGATTAGGGGAACAATGATTGGAACAAGAATGGGTGCAGGAGACCACTTAGGAAGCTGTTGTATTAGTTCAGGGAGGAAATAAGGATGGCTAGACTAGAGGTGATGGTGGAAATGGAGAGTTTGGAGATACTTAGAAGAGAGGTAGAATGGACAGATCTTAGCGAAGGTTTAGATAAAAGGGTGGGGCTTAATGGGAAGACCAGTCAAGGAAAGCTCCTAGTTATGTGGCTTGACCATTTTCTACCTCTGAGCTCTATTACATTCCTAAGTATTTGATTCTTTTCAATAGAAAATCTCATAATTGGGGTTGAGTGTTAAAGTGTTCTCTCATAGATTTAGATCTTAGAGTACTTGACTTGATTTTTCTGAAACTCTCCTACTTTGGCAGACTAAAAGTGAAAAACATCTGTGAAAAATTGTGCATTCTTTAAAGGACTGGAAGAATTTATATTCAGGAGTTTATTATTTTTCCCTATAAATTGTAGGAATAAATCTAAAATTCCTTATGATTTCTGCAGTGGAATCTGTTCTTTTTATGAGTTGCTTAACTTAGTTTGGCAATATATCATTTCACTAAGCAGGTTAATAAGTAATTTTCAGTCATGCTTAACTAAATGTTGAAAAACACTTTCCTGTGACCATTTCAGATTCCCTTTGCCAAAGATTGTGGAAACAAGGAAAAATGTATCTCGGACCTCGCCCTGAAAGTATCCACCACAGAAAAGGGCCTGCTTATTGTCAGGTCCCACAACGATAAGTTCAATGTTAGTCTCACAGTCAAAAATAAGAAGGACAGTGCCTATAACACCAGAACCATAGTGCACTATTCTCCAAATCTAATTTTTTCAGGAATTGAGGTAAACTTTTAGTTTTATATTTGTTTATTCTTGTAATAATCATTTATTGAGCCTACTTTTTCTGCTACTGAACTGTTTTTATTGGGTTTAGAAGAATAGAGAGCATTTTGTACAAATTATTAGCACTCACTCATGGTGAAAGTACCAAACTTTTTTTAAAAGTTTTGTTTTGATGAATGTCTTTAGAGATCTATGACTTTTCTTAGATTCGGTATCAGGAAAGTACCACTGATGTATCAAAATCATACCTTTCATAGAGGCATTACATAGCTGAAATTGAGACAAAATCAAAGAAAAATATAAACATAACAAAGTCAAGAAAGTTAAACAGAGGTGCAGTAATGCATGTATGGAACAAAAAAAATGCTTACATAAAGAAAAATCAAGATACTGTTTCTCATTTTCTATGTCAAATCCCCATTGGCAAGAGAGGTGTTAAATTACAATGTCTTATTGTCATAACAGAATTTTTTTCTATCTTGGCAATAACATAGCTGCATAAGATGCTATGTCAGGAATAATTGGTACTTCCACATTTGAACTTTGCTTTTAATTCTGATCTCTGAATGAATCCCCCTTATTTACAATTCTATCTATATAGATATGAATTAGCAATATGTATGATTCATATTAAAAGCAATACCCTTGTTAATTATAATATTAAAACTCTATTGTCTAGTTTCTGTAAATTCAGACTTTCACTGATATTTCTATTTATTAGGATATCACTTAAAAACATGATGACTAACAGAGGCTTAAAAAAATGTCCTCCATTACTACCACATATTTTAGATTCAGTAAAGAATGTTAATTATAAATCCAAATGTGCAGAGTGATGTTGGAAAAATATTACCACTGAATTTTTCTCTGGAAAGGGGACTATATTAAAAATCATTGCCAGTATCCTCAACTAACTTCATGGCCTTGGTAGAGAGGGAGAACTATAAAAATCAATAATGCATCTCCTCTACTTCTATTAATGATAAAAACAGTAATAATAATGACAGTCTTTCCCTGAGTCACATTATGTTCCAGGCACTGTTCTAAGCACTCCACTTATTCAATTGTCATTAAGTAAATAGGTATTATTGTACTACAGAGATTCTAAGATAAACCCTTTCTGTCACATTTTAACTTTGCTGTAACTGCATTTTACAGTTGATGTGTTTACTTAACTGGCAGCATTTTCCCCCTCTTATTGGTATGCAAAATAATGGTGAGTGGCATTATTATTATTATCTCCTATTCAGTGGCATTTTCAATTTGATGAAATAGAGTATGACTAACCTCACTTGAGAGAAAATCAGGCTCAGGGAAGTGAGGAGTCTTGACAAGGAGAAAGCTAATAGTGATGGAGTCAGAATTTAACTGCTGGTGGTCTCAGGTCAGAACCCATGCTCTTACCACTGAGTGAAACTCTTCTCATGACAACCACTCACTGTGGGCTTCCATAGGGCAGTCTAGTATGTGTGGATTATTTCATCCAGCCACCTAATCACCCTATGCGGCACATGCTGTTAGTACGTCCATCGTGCTGTGGGACACCTAGACAAGATATGTGATGTGCTTTGTCCTTCAGTCTCCCGTAAATAATGTTTTCAGATTTTCCATGGTTGGTGAGACAGGTGATCTCAGAATGCTGTGACTATCCCAACTAAATTGAGAGACAAATCTTAACAAGGCAGAGTCCAAGGCACAACTGGGAAAATTCTGGAAAAGCAAGCTCAAGTATTTCACCTGTGTGTCTGCTCTAATTCTGTTTACTTTTTCTTCCAAGGCTATCCAAAAAGACAGTTGTGAATCCAATCATAATCTCACATGTAAAGTTGGATATCCTTTCCTGAGAAGAGGAGAAGAGGTAAGCAGATTATAAAACATACATGTGGCAATTGGATATGAAAAATATTATGCTCAAAGTTAAATATATAAGTCCCTCTAGTGGTATGGTGATTAGGGTGATGTAGATGAAGAAGATTGAGTTCAAAATTTTGAGATATTGGAATCAAAAGCCAATTATTGCATGAGTCAAACTCAAACGTTAAGACAAAATTAAAAATTTATACTTGATAATTTATCTGATAGTAGTAGGATTTTCTGGCCTGTACACCACAACAAATCTTTCAAGCAGATTCGTTTAGAACTTTGTATAGAAACTCTTTTTTCATTTCTCTGTCTCTTTTTAATAATATCCTCATTGAGATATAATCTACATACCATAAAATTCACTTATTTAAACTGTACAATTCAATGGGTTTTGTTTATTCACCAAATAGTGAATTGTGCAGCCATCACCTCAATCAATCTTAGATCATTTTCACAACCCCAAAAGAAATTCTGTACACATTACCAGTTACTTCTTTTTTTTCTCCTCCAGTCCCTCCCCCAACCTCAGGCAATCTACTTTCTTTCTTTATGGATCTATCTATTCTGGGCATTTCATATAAATGGAATCATACAGTCTGTGGACTTTTACAACTGATTTTTTTCACTTAGCATAATGTTTTCAAGGTTCATCCATGTATCAGTAGTTCCTTTTTATTTCCCAATAAATTCCATTTTGTGGATGTATCATATTTTATTTATTCATCTATCAGGTGATGGGCATTTGTGTTGTTTCCACTTTTTGGTTACTATGAATATCTGTGTACAGGTTTTGGTGTGGGCATGTTTTCCATTCTCTTAGGGTGGAATTCCTGGGTTATATGATAACTATGTGTAACATGTTGGGAAACTGAGAAACTGTTTTCCAAAGTGACTGCACCATTTTTCATTCCTACCATAAGCAATGTACATCTTTCTTCACATTGTTACTGCCTTTTTTTTATTATAACCATCCTAGTGGGTATGAAATAGTATCTCATTGTGACTTTGATTTGCATTTCCTTAATGGCTAATGATGTTGAGCATCTTTTCATGTGCTTACTGACCATGTGTATATCTTCTTTGGAGAAATGTCTATTCAGATCCTTTACCTATTTTTTAATTGGGATGTCTTTTTTTATTATTGAGTTGTGAGAGCTCTTCATATATTTTGCTTTCAAGTCACTTATCAGATATATGATTTGCAAATATTTTCTCCCATTCTGTCTTTTTCACTTTCTTGATGGTGTCCTTTGAAACATAAAAGTGTTTACTTTGATGAAGTCTAATTAATCTATTTATTCTTTTGTCATGCTTTGCTAACCCAAGATCACAAAGATTCACTCCTATGTTTTCTTCCCAGAGCTGTATAATTTTAGCTGTTACCCTTAGGTCTGTGATCCATTTTGATGAACTTTTGTGTATTGTGTAAAAAGGAGAAGGTCCAATTCTTTGTCCATGGATATCCACTTGCCCCACACCATCTGTTGAAAAGGTTATTCATTCCCCCATTGAATTGTCTTGGCATTTTATTGAAAGTCAGTTGACCATAAACATATGATTCTTAATTGTATTCCATTGATCTATATGTCTGTCTTTATGTTGGTACACTGTTTTGATTACTGAACTTTTCTGTAAGTTTTGCAATCTGAAAATGTAAGTCTTTCAGCTATGTTTTCTTTTTCAAAATTGTTTAGCTCTTCCAGGTCCCCTGTATTTTCACTTGTACCTTAGGATCAGCTTGTCATTTTCTACTAAAAAAGCCAGCTGGGAGTTTGATAGGGATTATACTGAATCTGCAGATCAATTTGGGGTGTATTACCATCTTAAAGATATTAAGTCTTTGATCTGTGACCATGGGATGTCTTTCTGTTTATTTAGATCTTCTTTAATTATTTTCAAAAATGTTTTGTATTCTACAGAATACAAGTTTTACACTTCCTTTGTTAAATGTATTCCTAAGCATTTATTCTTTTTTAATGCTATTTTTTTTTGAAAGTGAGAGAGAGAGTGGGGGGCAGATGGAGAGGGAGAGAGAGAATCTTAGGCAGGCTCCACACTCAGATGTGGGGCTCGATCTCTGGCACTGAGATCATGACCTGAACTGAAATCAAGAGTCACTTGCTTAACCAACTGAGCCACCCAGGTGCCCCTTTTAATGCTAATTTAAATGAAATTCTTTTCTTAAATTTATCTTCAGATTGTTTATTGCTAAAAATTAGAAATACAAATGATTTTTGAATATTGATCTTTTATCGTGAAACCTTGCTGAAATTATTTATTAGTTCTAATGGTTCCTTAGAGGATTCCTTAGGATATTCTATATACAAGATCATGTCATTTGCAAGTAGAGGCATCCTTCCCAAGCCAATGCCTTTTATTTCTTTTTCTTGCCTAAATGCCCTAGCTGAAACCTACAGTAGTACTTGAACAGAAGTGAGGAGAGTGCTTTCATGTCGTTTTAAAAACAATATTTGTTTCCATGAAAAACAGAGAATAGTTATCTCACTTAATGATAAACAACACATTTGCATATATTTTCACTGAAGGTTGCTTTTCAGTATGAATATTTGCTCCTCTATTCATATTGAGTTAATGAGGGAAATACTTAATCAAAGTGATGAGATAAGAAGATACTTTACTTACTTGACTTAGTCTTTTAAAAAAAGATAGAAATACTATCCCAAATATTTATTTCAATTTCTTCACATTATAATATTTTGTAATATAAGACTTCAAAATAGATCTTTATCATCTTTATCACATATCCTAAAAAGTTGACAAACACTGAGTTGGACATCTGGAAATGTCAGAGTCACATACCTATAATGAAGTCTTTTAGCTTCTCTTTTTGCAAATGAGAATTCAGAAAGGCCTTTTCCCTTAACATATATGGCATGGCTACTAGTGATTGAAGAAACTACAAATGATAGCAATTATCATTGAATTCAATAAACCATTTTATCTATGAAACTAACTGGATGTACCAATTTACTTTTGGAACCTCATTATCAAGCCCATTTCTTGACTATCTCAAATGAAATTTATTGTGAAATTGCATTTCTTCCCTAAAAATCTATAAAACATATATCATATTTGAAAAATACACCCATAATTCCTCTATTTTGGTATGGAAATAGTGAATTTCAACTCATGTCTATACCTTCCTCTGAACACTTTAATTAACCATGGAATTATCTCCGTTTCTTAAAGAATAATGATATAGTCTGTGTTACATTTCAGCCATTTAAAGATATTAATTGCAATCTTAATTATTTTTCAACCACTTTTTTCTTTCTTTAGCATTTCCTTGCTACTTAAGGTAAAAGCTTAAATCAAAGCATCTCATGCCATCAATAGAGAAATGGGAAGATAATTTGCAAGGGATTTTTGCATGGGCTCTACACTTAAAATATACTCTGACTTCAAGATCTAGATTTATAGTTTAAGAATTTCAGGATCAGGTCAATATGGAATAAGCACTGTCTTCAACCCCACTTCTCTGCTAGTATCTTCCTGAGGTCCGAATGCCAAGACTTATATGTCCAGGCCAGTCAGGGAACTAAGGAAAGGCAGGAGAAAAATGAGCACACTGAGAGACTGGCAATTTGACCTTCTATAAAGTATTGTAGCTCAAACCCACCCAGTAAATCTATTAGAATTATGATTACTATTTCAAAGCAAGAAGCACACTGCAGACCTGCAGATTCTTAAGAAAAAAAAATTTTAATGTAACTCAAAATATATGTGGGAAAAGAAAATACAAAAGAAAACTTCACACATAATATGGTTCAACCATGCAAATCTCATGACACCTGAATTTTAATCATCCCTTCTGTGAATGGTCCTAAACTGATTAAAAGAGCTTTAAATATCAAACTCTGTCCTGTCTGGCACTTAATCACAAAGGTAAAATTTTAGGTAGTTTCTATCAATTGTGCAGTTTGAGCCATCTATTTAGCTGGCCAAATTCCAAAACACCCTAGTTAGCACAAACCAAGATTAGTTTTCAGGATAGGAAATACAGCTTTATAAAGATTATCATGAGGAGTCTTGGACTAGAACTTTGCTGAGGACTTATTTCTTCAAATAAGTAATCCAGTTTCTGACCTACCTGTCAGTGTTTATGAAGAGTCCTGAATTATATAGTTTATATGTTTTTCTTAGGTATTATTTTAACTATGCAATTTGTAAATAAAACTGCATTATTATTATTATTATAGTTTACTTTATTATAAATAAGACTTTTATTTTTTCATTTTGTTTTTATTCCTTAAAAGTCCAAAACTTTTTTGTACTATCAAATTAATGGAACCAAGTAGGTTTTCCCCTATTTTATAATGAACATGTGTAGATGGTTACTGCTACTTGAAGTTTACATATTAAGGAGGCTTTTATTATGACCATTTCATAATTACATTTTTATGATTGTGATCTGGTAGACTATGGTAATATAATACATAGAATGTACCTTCATGGTAATAGCTGATGTAGTATAAATTATTTTTATTAATATAATTTGAATAAATATTTAAATTCAATATTAATATACAAAGCATATTACATATTTACATTTATTTTAAAGATTTATATTTTTCTGAAAAGTTAAAAACATATTTAATTTTTTTTTAGTTTTTGATGTAGTGTTCCATGATTCATTGTTTGCATAATATATTTACATTTAAAAGTACATGTATGTTATATCTTGTTATATTTTTTGAGATGTGATTAGGTTTTATTTTCTAAGGTCATACTTCTTAAATAACTTTGCAATTTCAGTATAGGTAATATCATTAATGTAATTAAACATTTTGATCAAAGTAAACATTTTACTTCTTTATCTGTTACTAAACTAAAAATATTTTTATTTCATAGGTTACTTTCAAAATATTATTTCAGTTTAACACATCTTATCTCATGGAAAATGTGATCATTCATTTAAGTGCAACAAGGTTGGTTGATATGTATGCATAAGTGTATGTGTATATAAGTGTGTAAGTATATAATTTCATGTATTTAGAATATTTTGCTCTATAGACTCACTGGAACTTCTTACAGCTTTTATGAGATCAGTAAAAGCAGAAGGCAGTGAACCCCTTTACTTCACAAAAACATCCTTATGATTAACTAAAAATAAAGAAATTTTTATTTAATAGAATTAATGCACCTACCAAGATTAAACCATTGGTTGTATGAGCTGTAAAACATGTTGTAATCATACATCACTTATACCTGCCAAACTGCATTTAAATTTTTTAAAATTTTACAGGATTGCTAATTTAACTTTTACTGCCATCACGGTCAACTGAATCATTAGATGGACTTAAAGTTTTATGATGCCATTTTGTAGTTTAATACATTTCATCCAAACCATAGATATCATAGAATACCCAGACTAAAAATAACAAAGGGCTAATAAGGAAATTGAAATAGTGTCTTAACTTTCTTCTAAGTGTAATCATCCACTGGACCATAAACTCCTTGAAATAAAGTTCTATCTCTGGTTGCTTTATTCCCTAATAGCTAGCATGGTGCCTCACATCTAATAATCACTGAATAAATGTAGAATGAATGAATAAATGAGAAAATAAATTAATGGGTAAATGAATTCTGTATGCTCAATTTAATCAAGCTCAACAAATATTTATTTGATATCTACTACAGACAAGATATTGAATTAGTCACTATAGGGAATATAAAAATTAATAAGGACATGAACTTAATGGAGTAAACATTATAGTAGGGGGCTAAGAAGACTAATATATAAATTATTATAAATATATATATAAATTATTATAATATAGGATACAACAAGGAAAATTCATTAAAGAAATATAAGCTGTGTATCAGAGACTTAATAGAGGTTGAAATTAAATCTACTTGGCAATGAGACCCCAAGAAAACTTGATCAAGGAGATTACAATTGAGAAGGACCTTAAAGGGTGAGTAGCAATTCATAGAAAGGTTGGTAAATAGAATTAGGTGGAGCATTTTAGGAAAAATATACAGCTTGAGCAAAAACTCAATGGTGGACCACTAGGTCTACTGAGGGAATATCAGGTAATCCATTTTAGCTCAAATATAGAGAATACATAAAGGAGTAATGAAGATAAACAGGGGGTGTGCATCCTACCATGTTATGGTGAGTATTGAATGTCAGAATGAGACATGTTTTCTTAACTGAGCAAACCATAAGGAGCCAGAAAAGTTTTTGAGGGGTGAAGTGTATATACAGAGCTAGCTGTTTCTTAGGAAGACGCAAGGTTGCTTTATCCATAATCCTCATAGAAGTTTGAGAAAACTTGGACTATATCAGTGTGGTTTTCACCCTAGCTACAATTCAGAATCAACTTGGGAAATTTAATAATACCCATTTCTGACCTCCCTTCCCACCCTGATTGAAAAACAACCACAACAACAAAACAAATAAAAAACACAAAAACAAAAATTCTACTCTTCTATGCTTTTATTTAGTTGCCAAGATAAGCTTCCCTTTCAAATGCTCAGAAATGTCTTTAGTCAATAGTTTCAGATTTGTCTGAACATGCTATGTATTTTCTAGTGACAGTGAAGAACCTCCTGAAGCCCTTTCTGATAATGAAGTAAACATTTCTATCCCAGTAAAATATGAAGTTGGACTTCAGTTTTACAGGTAGGAGGAAACTGCATTTTTATGTTGATGCCTTTCTACAAACCCAGTGGTTCTCCAAGTGTGGTCCCTGGCCAAGGACATCAGAAGCACCTGGGAACTTAGGCAAATTCTTGGCCCCACCCCAATATACTGAATCAGAAACTCTGGGGCCCAGAAATCCGTGTTAAACAGGCCCTCCGGGTAATTTTCATGCACTCTAAAGTCTGAGACCCAGCATGCTAAATAATCTTAGATGTGAGGTGCTAATGATGCTGGATTGCATTAGCAGTCCAGTCTAAATTCATTAGCAATCCAGTCTAAACTCTGAAGACCTAGAAGAAGTACTTTACAAATGGCACTGTTCTTAGAGGTCACCAGCATATTTCTTAACTATCATTTCTCATTGTGAGGGATCTGATCAGCCTGCCCATTCTGGACACACAAGATTAAATCATTTCTTATTAATGAAGCTGTTTATTTCTTGCATTATTCATAAATTCTCCTTTCCCCTAAGAACTTTCAATCTATCCAAACACAAATCATATTGGCAACGTTTCCCACTATAAATCCCCCAAGCAAGACTCCAAGCTTTTGCTAAAAAAATATGTGCAATGTATATAAAAAGTACAAGAATCAGAGACAAGCTTAGTCTAAAAGTCTTATCATTTTATTAATTTATTTTCTATGGAACTTTGTTTTTTTCTGATAACAAACAACAAAAATGAGAGGATAATAGGATATACACATAGATTTTGTATATATTACTTAGCCTCCAAATTCTATTTGCTGTTTTCTATCTCGCTGTTATCCATTTCTCTTGGTACAATGACTTTTTTCCAAGAATTTTTCATTTTATTAAAATCAAATTTTGGCAGACACCTATATATTTTTATTATACTTCATTCCACCAAGTTCATCCAAAGAACATGGAGAAGTTGTACAGGAAAGATTGAATTTTTAAGTTTAGCAGTAAATATAGGCCTTTAATGTGAAAAGGTTAACAATTTTTTTAAATCTATTTAAAATTCAGCACTACTAAAAGTACTAAGTTTTAGCCTCATTATTTACAAAATGTAAATGATATTAGTGAATTAATGGAAACTTTTCACTCGGTAACAATGAAACTTTTATTTTAAAAATTGTACATATTTTGGCATTTTAAGGCCAAATAAGCATCAGTGACTTATTGAACTGAATTATATCATCTTTCTCACCCTCCTCAAAGATTTAATTGTAGGTTTCAGGGTAAAAGAATTTGCTTCTGATTTGAAATTTCTACAAGTACTTTTTGTGGGATTACTTGGTATAAAGAAAGAAAAAGAGTGAGGTCAAATAAAAGTTAAACTTTGTTGTGTTTTGTTTTTCTTCTTCCAATTAATTCTAAGCTCTGCAAGCGAATACCATATTTCAATTGCAGCCAATGAGACTGTCCCTGAAGTTATTAATTCTACTGAGGACATTGGAGATGAAATTAATATCTTCTATTTGGTAAGAAACTACCTCTAAATTATTATTGTCAAGGAGTAATTTATAAGTTTATAAATAAATGAAAGTATTAACAGACACATAGAAACATGTTGATTCAACAGTTAATCTCTATATTCCAGAATATTTTTTTATAATTTCATTATTTTGAAGTAATTTTATTTAAAGAATTATTGATAATTATACTTTGAAGCAATTTTAAAAACCTGTCTCTAATTTCCTCCTAACACATTCTTAGAATGACTTCCTAGAAAAAACAAAACTATAAACACTACCTATAAGCCTATAGACTTTATTTACATTATGTTTTCATAATGCACTTTTAAAAAAATAATTATGACTATTTCAGAAATTGATTACTTCAAATGTCTTGGTAATATTTTACTTTACTCAACAAATAAATATGTATCTCATTCTGCTCATTGCAACCTTCCATAGTATCATACTATAACTTATGTTCCTCCTTCCACATCCTTAAGTGATGTTTTCTACTATAAATTTATTTTTCTCTTTGAATTCTTCATAATGAACTTTTCCTAACCATTGTAGGAAACAATTATGAAGTTAAACCAGACTTTCATTTTAGGTAATGCCTACTTACAGACACAGACTCAAGTTGATATTACTCAAGTAAAAGAGGGTCCAATTCAAATGATGGATTTAAATATATATTCAGAAGTATGAAATAATGCAACAGTATTATAGGTGAAAATGGTCTCAATCTCTTTGGGAATTGCCAGTAGTGGAAAGGGAAGTTCTCTTACAAAGTGAAATAAATGTATGCTCTCAAGATTCATTCCATTGTTTTCTTTCCGTGCTCTTTGCTAAAATTTCTATGACAAGCTATACCCTGGAAATTAGCATGAATGCAGATCACCTTATTATTGAGATTAACTTTTGAAATTTTGGCTGCCAAGCTCTTCTAGACCCATTTGCTTTTCCCAGATTAAAGAATTCAACAAAAAGAAGGAAGGAAGGAGGGAAGGAAGGAAGGAAGGAAGGAAGGAAGGAAGGAAGGAAGGAAGGAATTTTGAATATTATAGCTATTCATATGTTGTTACTAGGGTCCAAACTTGAAATAGGTACTCTCAAACTATTATAAATAATGTTGATATAAATAACATTGTTAAGAATATCCCTGACCAGGGCTCCTGGGTGGCTCAGTCGTTAAGCATCTGCCTTCAGATCAGGTCATGATCCCAGGGTCCTGGGATTGAGCCCCGCATCAGGCTCCCTGCTTGGCGGGAAGCCTGCTTCTCTCTCTCCCGCTCCCCCTGCTTGTGTTCCCTCTCTCACTGTGTCTCTCTCTGTCAAATAAATAAATAAAATCTTTAAAAAAAAAAAAAAAGAATATCCCTGACCGATATCCACTATCACCACTGCTATTCAGCATTGTACTAGAAGTCCTAGCCACAACAATCAGACAACA